TTACCTTAGTACTCACAGTATAATCAGCTAGATCCTGTCTAAGCATCAGGGTGACAAACAGACATGTTTAGTTTTCCAGGATGGTAGATAATCAGGACTATGAAAATGGAATTATGATGATAATCACTCTAAAGAAAACCTACTGAATGATGGGAGCACAGCAAGCTTAACTGCAAGCAAGCACTCAGTAACCCAGGAAAGAAAAAAGAAAGGGAGAGAGGAAGAAAAAAGAGAGGGGAAGGAGAAAGGATGGGAAAAGGAGGAAAAAGGAGGAGGAAAAAGAAGGGAGTAAGGAAGGAAAGAAAAAAAGGAGCTGGACAGGAGGGAAGGAGGGCAGGAGAACGGAAGGTAGGCAGGCACACTTTGCAGTTCCCTTTGTGAAGCAAACTGTATTTCTCATAGCCCTTTCATACTCAGCCAATCTCTGGACTCTCAAAATATCCCCAAGCTGTTTATTCACAGAAAGTACAGTATCGGGTTTTTACAGATAAGAAAAGGTAGGCCACAAAGAAGTTCTGTGCAAAATTCCAGCGTGAGTTAGCCCTGGAGGAGCTTGAACCCCAACCCCAGCATGATCTGCCACCTTCCCTGTACTGATGAGCCCTGCCAACCCCGGCTGCAGCCCATTCATTACCTGTGGTTTGGATCAGTTCATTCAAATATAGGCTGGAAGCAGTTAAGAGGCTGAGAGAAATGGTTCCCTCCTTCCTGCATCTTTTTTTTCTGAGTCAGAGACTATAAAGCTGAGGTTGGCTCCAAATTCACTATGTAGATAAGGATGGCCTCCAATTCGTCATCTTCCTGCCTCAGCTTCCTGAGTGGATGAGCCATGCTTGAGACACAGGCTGACATGGTGGGGTATTTTTTGAGAAAAGTGCTATAGGAGTCAACTGGGTTCACGGAATCACCTGGTTTAGGATAGAAGCCCTTGAGGCCAGCCAGCTTCTCTGGCTGCTGAATACTTCCAATGATATATCCTTTCCAAAGCCTCTCTCCGTGAGTCAGTGCCACTCGAGGCTACAGAGAGAGAGAACCAGGCCCCATGGGAGGAGATGCCCCCCTGGATACCAGCTCCATGTGCGGGCTGCTGCAGGCATGGGGATAGCAGACGCAAGCCTCTGTCTATGAGTCAGTGCCATTCACAAGCTGTAGAGGGAGAGAACCAGGACCTACAGGAAGGAGATTCCCCCACCAGAAACCATATCATTTTCATTGGTTTTTTTTTTTTTCTTTTGGAGGATTAGATTTATTCTCTTTTGTTTTGTCTATGTTAACTCTGATGGCATGAGCAGCAAAGCAAGACATGCTATGGAAGCCATTATGTATTTACTACTGGCTTGTTTTGAGGTTCTTCACTGCATTTGTTGTTTTGTTTTTGTTTCTATGTTATCCTTTTCTGTTCAATTTTTAGTATGTCCGAAGGTGCTATCTGCAGTTATTTTTGAAGACAACAAAGGCATTTTGGCAACTATTGTTCATTAGTGTCATAAGGCTGAAAGCAACTAGGATGATGTGTTGTGTCCTGCCATCTAGGGGAACCCGAAGAACTTCAAGTGACCTAAATGCAAGCTCTTGTCTCCATTCTGCTGCCATGGATAAGGTCCCTACCAAAACAGCACTCCTTATCAAGGGGCTCAGGCACTGTGCCTGTGTCTCTGCATATCAGACCTCAGTTTCTGCTACCCTGCATAACGACTCAAACAGGCCAATCACATCCTCCTGCAGGAACCACGACTCACAGCTCTGTTCCTACACAGTCTTGTCTGAAGATCACACTGAGGTGGCGCTGAGAAGGCTTTACAATTAATCAACTGGCTTTTTTATATTAACTTATGAGTCTGTCCCAGGCCAGCATGACACTCCCTGTAGAGCCAGGGGCTAGCACACAAAAGTAAGATAGTCATAGTAGTGGCCTATAGTGCCCTGTGACACTGAGACACAGGCAAGATATACTGCCTGAGGACACTGACTCTCATTTGGATTTCCAATGCAGTAACTACCAAACTTAGAGATAAAACAGCACTCTCATTAAACAAAGATTTACTGTTTGGAATGTCTTTGGTTTGCTTTCTTAAGACCCTGCTCATTTTTGCCTTAACTATTGCTTCCAATTATCTGCACGCCCCATAATGTGTTACTCAATAAATAGTGTTCATTTTGGGAGAAGTCAGGGTTTTAGTCATGAAAACTCTGACATTCATGGACCCCTGTATACCACATTGCTTTTGTCTGTTGTCTTTCACCATTCACTTGTCCAGGGGATTGAGAGACTGGCCAGCTCCTGATACTTGTTCCCTAACTTGTGCACACTTCACTCTTGAGTGTGGCCTCCTATGCAACCCAGTGTAGGGTGTGGTGTCCTCCTCTTCAGGCTGAGAGGCAGAACTAAGAAACTGCTGTTGCTCACTTCCAGTGCTGGTTGCTGTTCCATCCCCATAACTCTCCCTCCCAGAAGGGCAAAAAGAAGTGATCATAACAACCTGACATTATGAACAGATGAGCCAAACATGACCCAAGGTACCTGGTCAGCTCTAATGATGTTCTTTTTGCTAACTGGTTCCTGACATGGCAAAGACCTCCTGAGACAGACTTGCCCATTGCTGTGGACTTGAACTTGAGCTAGCTCTGTTCATATTTTTTGTCTCTCTTTGAATACTATCATCTCCTCTCACTCTATAGCTTTCTCGCTGCCACAAGAACCATTTTTCCTGGCTATAATATAGTGTGCAGCCTGTGTCTGGCAGGTGCTCCTGGCACTACGACACCTAGCTGAACTTAAAGATTGATTAGACAGATGAGACCCCTTGGATCTTACCTATTTCCCAGTTAAAACACTGAACTCAGCTTATCAATTAAAATAGGACCTTCAAAGAGTGAAACTTACTTTCCAAAACTTAAGGAAGAATTATTTTCCTATTGTTTCTCCTTAAAATAGTCCAATTTGGCCTGCTCCTAAATCAGGAAAAAATGAAAAAGGCCTCACAGTGGATGACCACAACCTTAAAGTGGTTCTATCCATTATGAGGCCCCCCACTCCTAAAAACACGTACTGAAATTACTGCCAGTCAACAACTGTTAATGTTCTGCTGTTGTAGATATGGTTAATATGTTCTGGTCTGTGCCATTCAACAGTCTCTCAGCCATGGGTAACCTTCACTTGCAAAGGGATATCATTCCTTTCCAGATTCTCCATGGGGAACTGACTTCTGCTGTCATCAAACACAATTTTTGCAGACAAGATCCTAACCACACGCACCTTTCTCCAGAAGCACAGGCAGGACATACCTTGATGACAACCTCCTCCAGGGAGGTTCACTGGACCCTTTCATAAATGGTATACAGATAGCTCATGGAGGATCCACAGGAAGAGAGCAAGTCATCACTCCATTGGCAGTGAACCCTTGCAACCAGGGTTAAACTTCTGAAACTTACCTACTGAACTGGGTACCACTCCAATCCTGACTGTAAAGCAGGAACGATTCACTTTCTCTGTATCCACAACATTAATACATGTCCCACATCCCTGGATGTTTCTTGGGTTCTGGAGGATATGTATTCCTTATGGACAAATTTTACTCATGCCCATTTATGCTTTCACTTGCAAAGTGATCCACTTCAAATGGGTCCCTTTTCCTAAAGGTCCTAGGATCGCTCCAAAGTGGAATCAACAGCCACTCCTATTTGTTCCCTTGAAAACCATTTCTGCCATGGAGGGACTTAGGCAACTTATTCACCTGCCCTCTTGGTAAGTGCCTGCAACATGGGCCAGGAGGAGAATCAGAACTCCTGAGATCCGGCCATGGAGGGACTTAGGCAACTTATTCACCCACCCTCTTGGTAAGCACCTGCAGCATGGGCCTGGAGGAGAACCATTAGCTGTGAGCCTACTGCCACTTGGGCTGAAAATCAAGCACCCTTCCTCCACCTGCCGCTTCTCCCCATAGCTACTGGGGATAGATGTCTCAGCATCTCTTGGGAGGATGACCATATGCACAGCAAATATGGGGGATTTCCTTCTATCTTCTGTTTGAAGGCAACAACCTGTTTTTACTGTTTCGTTATGTTTCTTTTGCTCTATTCAATATTCTCAATTGGTTTTATATGTTCTATTTTTGGTTTGATTTTGCTATACCTAATTGACTGGACAACTATTGTGAAGTTAAAAAGATATACCATAGTACATATTACTACTATTCCAGTATCCTACTGTGAAATCCTGTACCAATTTCACTGCATTGTCTCAATTGGCTTTGTTCTGTCTTGTCCTGTTGCATTTTTACTACTTAAAAAAGAAAAAAGAAAACCGTTTCTGAGGGGTCAAACCATTCCATATGGCAAAAACTCTAAAAGGCACTCAATCTTGCTCATTCGTAAGTAATACAAATCACATTATAATGAACACAGTGGGTAACATCCTTTGACAACACCCACCACTGCCCCCTCTCTACCTCTTGTTATTGACATTTTTATGCAACTGATCCCCTCACAGTGTGGGCCAGAAATGGTATCCTGCTTCTGATCAACAGAAGCAAAGCAGATAGGATTAGATCACAAAGACAATCTTGCGAGATGACACTGTTTCCTTTGGAAAGGGTACACTTTGATGAAGGGTGTCAGGACCTCTGAGTAAATACCTTTCTGTTGATTATGTCCCAGTGTGTGGTAGTTTGTCAGAGTAGCCTGAGTAGACTAATACAGTTGTTAAACTTAAAAATACTTCAGAAAAGAAATGATCAAATAAATTTTGGTATATATGTACAATAGAATTACGCCATGCCTAAAATCCAAAATTGTATGAGCTGCCAAACTGTCTTTTTTAACTTAACTTGGGTTAATACAGTGTCTGTCATTTGTAATTAGAAGAATTTTGTCCAATATAGAAAAAAAATTGTATTTACTGAGAATTTCCCCTTGTCTTTCAGGCTGGACCCAAGGTACAGCTGCCTACATGTTAGGCTGGCATTGGACAGTAGCCCCCAACCCCACTGAGTTCCTCTTACCTGAAAATGGTTCAAAAGTATGCCAGCCCAGGACAGTCCGAGACCTGCAAATACGAAAGGCACCAACACCTGAAGGCCAATGATCAAGGCAGTCTCTCCGCTGGGCTCTGCCTCCAATGGTTTGGGGGCCACCTGGCTCTCAGGGACTTCCAGACATCCATCTTTTGAGGTCTCAGGGAGTCTTTCTGTGCTGAGGGAGGGAGCTGTCCCCGGTTCCTCTGACCTGTCGTAGCCTTCCAGCCTCCTCTGTCGGGTCTCTGTCCCTTCCATCTGCACACAGCTCAGTCCCTGGTAGCCCTAACCTGGGAGATACAAAGCAACAAGGTTGGACTGCAGAACTTACAACTCCCAGCACGCACCAACTCCCTGACCCCCTTGGGCCTCCTGCAAAGGCAGAAGCTAGTGCCATGTCAACCAATCCACATTCCCTTACTGGAGGCCTCCCTATATGGTCTCCTGTACCCTACAGAAGTTTGTAATTTCATATACACATGTGAGAAAGAAAAGCACAACCTGTGCCAGAGAACACTAATATGGCTGGACAGGAGTCTCCAAAAATGGAGAATAAAAGCTGGATGCAATGGTGCACACCTGTAATCTAATCTCTGCCACTAGGGAGGCTGAGGCAAGAAAATTAAATGTTTGAACTCAGCCTGGGCAAAACCAGTCTGCAGGGGTGTAGCTCACTGTTACAGCATTTGCCTAACATGCTCACTCAATACAAGTGCTACAATATATAGCTAGGTATAAAGAATGATAGCCTTACCTTTTCCAGAACTCTGGGAATTAATCAGAGGCTTAAAGGCTTACAGTAATCCAAGGAATGGCTACTCAAAAATTTCTGAATCTCAGGAAGAACTGCAACATTATAATGTCTGTAACACTGGTGACATTCTAACATGCCTCGGCTGTACTACCTATGGCTTTGAAAAGTTAACGCATAACTAGGGGGAGAAACAGTAGGACAGAGGACTTGGGATAGAGTTAGACCTCTTTCCCACTCCCAAAGAACCATCTTTACTGACTGCAGATAGAGATCCCTGAAAACTGCACCTGAGTTGACGATCGCTTAGTGCAAAAGTCTGTGTCCTGGGAGACACAATCACTGGTACTTCCTGGCTTCCACAGTGACCAACAACTAGGTAAACAACAGATTAATGAAAAGGCTCAACAGGAAAAGCTGAGGAAAGACATTTCTTGCACAGGTTTGAAGAATGTTCAACAAGCCTGGGAACCTAGAAGGCCTCAGTGTATAGGGCTCATATCCAGAGGTGGGCACTTGCTCAGGGAGTGTCTTCTGAGAAGGTCCTAAGCTCTCACTCCTCTGGAGAGTTTGCATAAGCAGGAGATGAGGAAGAACTCAGCATGGGGCCTGCTTCTAAGTGTGTTAATTGCAGCAGCCAGGAGCTGAAGACATTAGAGCCAACTCCCACCCTCATGTTTCTGTGTGGTGAGAGGCCACATGGCTTAAGTGGGCACCCTGCAAGGCAGGGACAGTCCCCAACCACCCATCCAGGCAGCATGGAGCACTGGACCCAGAAAGGGTCAGCTTGGCACACAGATGTAATAAACAATGAAGACCAACGTTAGACACACTTCTTACTGTGGAACTCCACCTTCCTACTGGGCTCAGGCAACCCACAACTCGGGGCTGAGAACAGCTGCCCTCCTCTCACCAGGCCCACTGCACAGAATCTATGCTACCCAAGCTCTACAAACAAGAGCTGCATGGCATTCAGTCATTCCTCCTGGAGGAGCTCTGCTCCACCTTCCCAGTGGTTTTTTTCATTCTCAAGCCTCCAGCCTTACTAATCTCTTTTCAAAACTTTGTGTCACAATCATCCCAGCATCCTGGCAAGCTGAGTCAGTCCCACACTGGGGGCCAGCTGTGGAGGTGGGAGATAATGGAGAGAGAGAGAAGATGATCCCACCCCACAGTTAGCAGGAGGACCAGTACCACCCAGAGCTGTCAACAGCCCTCGTGCACTCTCGCTGCTTATCTATGGGGCTGCCTGGACCCTTGGACAGAAAGGCCCTTAGCGGGTGGGGCTGGAGCACCTGGGCCACTGCAGAGGCAAATGTCTTCAGGAAATATTAGTCACAGCTAGTGATAGATACCATATGTGGTATTTCTTCAATCCTCATAAGATACCAGGAAGATTATATTATTTCTGTCCCCTTTATGGAGAAACAGCAGAGGTTACAGAGGACCAAGAGAGCAACTCCCTCTCCTGGTCCCTCTTTTCCTACTCCCTTCGTTTCTGCCATCCACATGTGGGGATCATGGGATCATTTCACAAGAGCTGGAGTGAGTGGAAGGATTTGTCTCTAAATCCAGGCCTTGACCTTGAGTGTCCTTTTCCCCTTCAGGGAAAAACTATACAAAGACTCTTCCCTACTGTGTGTCTTTGCCACCCTTCTGTGCTCAAGTGTCCAGGCAGGCTCTGGTCTCTCCTCTCAACACAAACTGCTCTGGATCAGGCCAGCTGTCACTCACTTGCCACATCTGATGCACCTCCAGAACTTGATGCACTGGATTTCTCAGCCAAATGCAAGACTTCCCCAAGTGGCCCTCCCCAACTGTCACCTCCTCACTCATCACCTAGTTGTGAGGAGCTCTGCCCAGTCTTCACTTGTACCTGACTTTGGCCCCTGCTTCTTCTCACTTACTTGTCAAAGTCAAGACTGCTTACATGACTGCAGGTCCTTTCTTAAGAACAAGCACTGTGACCCCACTTTTGAAATCAGGCCCACTTAGATCACCCCAGCTTGTAAATCTAGTGGGACCGTCCTGCTAGGGCCCCATAAAACATTCTGCCTACACTTGGCATCACAACATATGCCTGTAATTCCAGCAATGAGAGAGGCTGAGCCAGGAGGACTGTAATGTGAAGTCCTATCCAGCAACTCAGCCAGACTCTGTCTCAAAATTTCAAGTTAAAAAAGGCCATGGATGAGCTCAATGATAGAGAACCTTGGATTAATATCCAGTATTGTAAAAAAAAAAATCCACCTTCCTCCCTACATTAGAATGCTCTTTTGGTGCTACTTCCTACCAGCACAGCAGTATAAAGGTTACAGGAATAGTGCTCTTCTTACACAAGTGGTCTTAAGACCCTTTCCTCTGGCTTAGAGTAGTCAGACTATCAGACTTAACTACCACTTAGCACATATAAATGCTAAATCGAGACTTGCCATTTATCTGAAATTCATATTCCCTAGAAATCCCATATCTCAGCCCGAGGACCTCCTGGGCTTATAGGTACTACTTCACTTTCCTACCTCACTGGGAGCTCCTGCTCCAGCTTTTCTTGGCACTACTTCGCCCTTATGTACCAACACTGGCACTCCAGACTGGTACTCCTCTCTCCTGACCATAGCCTATTCCTTGATTGCATCAGGCCTGTGGCCTTAAGTGACAAGGGTATGCTATCAGCTCCCAGATTTATACCTCCAGCTGTGACCTCATCTGACATGTAGATTTGGAGGGCCAACTTCCTACTCAGGTGCTATGATGTACCTGAAACACCCCTAGTCCAACAGAGAGGCTCTCATTCAGAACTGGGGATTGAACCCAGGACATTCACACAAACCTACACCTCCACTTAAACTACTTCTTGAGAAAGGGTCTCACAAAGTTGTTAAGCTGCCAGGGTAGACCCAAAATATTTGATTCTCTTGCCTCAGCCTCCCAGATGACTCTCGATCTTCCTAGTTATGTCTCTCCCAGCCTCTTCCCATAAAAGGCACCAGCATCTACTCAGCCAGTAAACATCACACAAAGGGATGTAGAGAAAGAGGCACAAGGTACCAAGATAAAATCCTTTGAGATTTTTAAGTTAATGAATTTATTTTGACAGTACTAGGGATTGAACTCAGGGCTTTTTCACTGAGCTACACTCTCAGCCCTTATTATTACTAAATTGCCCAGGCTAAACTCAAACTTGTGATCCTCCTGCCTTAGCCTCCCAGTGTACTAGGATTACAGGTACATGCTACCACACCTACTTCCTTTCTATTTTATACACATTTACATTGTTTACACTTTCTTCCAATGACTGTATGCTTTTTATCTTTTAAATAATTTACATTTACAAGCAAAACCAGTTGTGATCTACTATCATCTCTGCATACTGAGAATACCTGATTTGTCATTGATCCAACAAACTATATTCCATTTCTTTGTTTCATGTTGTCCACACTCTAGGTATTAAAAATTCTGGGAAAAGTCAGACAAAAAGGTCTTACCCTCAGAATTTTACATTCCAGAGGCAGTAACAGAAATAAGTAAACAAATACATGTACAAAATAATACAAGTATGAAAAAAAATTAACTACTTTGGGAAAGGTGGAAGGGATGGTTTGAATGCACGATTAAAGAAAGCCCTAAAATAGAGGGTGACAATTTCACTAACTCCTCACTGATAAAAATGATGCCAATTGTGGATAAATCTGGGAAAAAACCCTTCAGGTAGAGAGAACAAGTACCAAGGTCTGGGCAAGGGGTCAGTAGAGAGTGGTAGGGTCATGTTTGCTTCCCAGGAAGGACAGGCAGAGGCTTAGGTGTCAACACATGGAAAGTGACAGAAATGGCAGGACAGGAAGCAAGGCCAAATAAACAGGGCCTCATAGGCCAAGCAAGGAGTGTGTGTTTCCTGTAAGGTATGGCTAAAGCACGAGACGCTCCAAGCATCTGGAGCTAAAGATATGTTCCAGAAACCCACAGAACATTGAGAAATGGTGAATCTCTGTTGTCTTATACTGCTCTGTGAGGCGTTGAAAGTTAACTGCTAAGTTCTAGCTCTGTAGCTCTAGCTTCTGAGTAGCCCAACCAGATCTTCTCTAAGGTGGACAGAAGAGAGAACAGGGACTGCCAACGTGGGACAAAAAGGTTAGTTACTCACAACACCATGTGCTCAAATGAAAGGGGGGTATATCAAAATGGCTAAAAATCAATGTGAATCCTAACCTTAAAAAAAAATGCACAATATATTTTCCAGCCCTGACATGGACACTTCTAAAAATAGTACAAAGCATGGGCCTTTTTCCACTTGGGAGATGCCCCTTATGTCTCGGGGACCCAGATTTTTGTCTATACTACTACTCAGAACCAGAATCCCTAGACAATAATGAACCCAGTAATTTGAAGCAAGAAAAAAATTAAAATGATTCTGGAGCATGTTTTTGTTGCCAGAAAATAAGATGCTTCTAGGGTGATAGAAAAGCAGCTAAAAAGACAAAGGAAAAGATTTAAACAGATCACCACCGAACAACAGTGTCAACTTCAACATCAAATAATAAATACAAACTGTAATTATTACAAGCTAAGTTTGTAAAAGGTTATGAGTTCATTAGACTATCAAAAGAAAAATAGTTGAGCTGGTGTAGCTCAGCAGTACCAACCTTGCCTAGCATTCACAAAGATCTAGTTTCCATGTCTAACCCATAAAAAAAAGAAAAGGGAAAGACAGAAGTTAAAAATAACTTTTTAAAGCCTTTTGGAACACCCATACCAATAGAACATAATAAAATGTTTTCTCTTCAAATTCTTGTCCCTTAATTTTTCGAGGTAACATATATGAATTTCATTGTAAAAATTTAAAAAAAAATTGAAAAAGTTTCAAGTTTTATCATAAATGGGTTAACCATTTATGATGCATAAATGGGTAAACCATCATAAATGGTTTATTGACATATAAAGTCTATAAAAAATGCTTTAACTAAAAAAGCACACCAAATCAATAAAAGAAAAAATATAGCCAATTACTGAAAACTTGCTTTACTGATTTTAGTAAGATGGATCGGACTTCATTGCCAGGGACAGTATTTTGTTGATTGTGTTATATCTATGTCACTTCACAAGGAGATAAGTCAGTGGCTATAAAGCAGGAGCAAGTAGTTGAGCAAAAACAATGCTGGAAAAGTAGAAACCAGGCCAGCAGAACGGGAAAACTCAACCAGCCCTGACAGTCATAGAACAACCAGGCAGAAGTGTCAGCAGCTGATGAGTACACACGGTCAGACAAGATAACCAATTAAAAAGGGGCATCCCTTCAAAAAAAAGAGAGCCCCAACTGTTTTCTAAGAACACGCCTACATCCCAGCCATTACAGCAGGAGGGTCATTTGAGCCCAGGAGTTCAGTGGTTAACTTGGCAACATAGCAAAAACTGTCTCAAAAAATTTTTTTCAAAAATAAAAGTTAAAAAAAGAAACAACCCTCTGGATGGCCCCATAAATGTATTGTGATTCAGATAAGACACAAATGAGTTTCTAAATATACTAAAGAATTAGGTTAGGACAAGGAGGTGGTTGTCACCAGCCATACTAGAGGACTCTCTCACTGCCAACAGATTCCAAGGTGCAAGAAAAACAATCGAATTTTAAATCCAAAAGTCTCATGGTGTATCAGCCAAAACTTAGGATCAGCTTGAAAACACACAGGTTGGAGTTTACCCTGAATGACACAGCCAGGTCTTACCTTCATACCCCCAAGCCCAGAGTCACCCTAGGATAACTGAGATGCCTTAAGCTGTTCGGAGGCACTTACTGCCTTTTGGGGTTTTTTTTTTGGACACAAGTTTTGCTAAGTCACTAAGTTTTGCTAAGTTTTTCCAAGGCTGGGCTCAAATTTGTGCCAGCTTCCCAGAGAGTCTCAGCTCCTGTCTCAGCTTCCTGGAGTGCAGAGATTATAGGTATATGCTATCACTTTTGGCTAGCTATTGCCTCTTCTCTTAAGTTTGGGAAGAATCATAAAACTCTAAAAAGGTGAAAAATAGTAGCAAAATTAAGAAAAATAACACTAGCATAGACTAACAGTCATAAAGACAATGAATACAATCATACCTGGGGATCTATAAGACATTAGTCCCTGTGGACACTAACATCCTCCTGACCTAAAATGCTGTAGGATTTGCTCAGAATGTGTGAACAGCCTCCCTTATGGTTTAGAGCAGTGATGGCAAACCTGCTAGAGATGAGTACCCAACTGTAACCCAAATTAAACAGTGCAAAGTACCAACACTACAATTAATCTTGAATCCTGAGATTCAAAATTTAGTTTAGAAAATTTAATTTAGAAAAACAACTTATACAATAACATCTTTTGTCTTAAAATAAAAATAAAAAATACCGTAACATATGTGCCCTAGATTCATTATACTGTTTTAGATCATCTCTAGATTAATTACAATACCTAATGATGCCAATGTTATACAGTTAAAACGTATTGTTCAGTTAATCATAAAGGGAAAAGTCTACATGCTCCATACAGACACACTATTTCTCTTGGTGTTTGGTCTAATATTTTTGATCTGAGGTTGGCTGAATCTATGGATGCAAAACCTGCAGATATACAGGGCCAACCACATATGTTTTCAGAACTGTGGTATTTGAGTTTTTGTAACTAGTTTTAGTGAAAATGAACTAATTAATAATGCATTCACTATAATTATTGTGTACATACTGAAAAACACCAGCTAGATATATTACATTTATGGTTCTAATTAAATGTTCAGAAGAGTTTTACTTACACATAATGAATTCTTAAACATCTGGGAAAAATAAAGCATCATTTATAGTAAAAGAAAAAAAGCAACCAGTTGTAAATGTCTGGGAAATTTGAGAAATGTGTGTTTTATTATCTGTGTAAATAAAAAGGATGGACTTTTTTTTTAAAGTAGGCCCTCAATAAAATGTCAAAATGTTGTTGTGCAGTAATAGGTTACCACGCTGAACCCAGTGCTACACAGTTAGAGAGAAGGGCTCTGTCAAGGAACCCAGATCGCGGAGTCCTATGAACAGGCTCCCTCTGTTGGCAGGACTGGGCTAGGACATCCTGGGCACACAAGCAGTGTGCAATGAGACCCCAAAGCAGGAATTCCAACCTTGAAACCTCTAAAGTCTAGGGTAGGGGAACAAATAAAACAAAATACATTAAGAACAATGACCACGAGAGACCAGGGTCAGGGGAATTTGCAAGTGCATCAAAGTTTAATTACCCTATGGGACAAAGCCTTGCAAGAAAATTTGAAAGCAAGCAAATCTAAGAGAAAATTTGGAACCAACAGGTAAGATACAGGATGAGAATGCAAAAAACAAACACCTACAAATCTGCAGGAAACAGAAAAATTACTGGAGAAACAATACAAGGAGGAAACCAAACTCAGCAAGAGAAATACCCAGGAGCTAGGACAGGGGACCTGCAAATTACAATGAACTGTAAACACCTCTTCTCACCTCAGGATGGTCCCAAGAAAGGAACAGACAGCCTCATTCCAGGTCTCTTGTCTGCTTCTGCCTATGGCATCTTGACAGTGACTATTCAGGCTTCATCATCCTCAACCCATATGCATGAATGCAAGTGCCCAAAGACTGGCCTGATTAGGGAAACCCCTGGACACAAGAAAAGTCACCTGGGTCCAGGGCAAGCCCGTGGTGAACATCTCATTCTCACCCACTCTGTGCCCCTTGCTGAATAAGGGCTGTAGTAGCTGCCCCACCACTTTATGGGAAATTGTGGAGTGTTCTGTAGAGAGAATGTGTTCAAATGTTACTTGTTTTTGCAGTACTACTGGGGATTAAACCCAGGGCCTTTGCACTGAGCTACATCTCCAGCCCTTTTTAATTTTCTTTTTTTCTTTTAATGAAACAAGAAACAAAATCCCATTAAGTTACTCAGGGTAGCCTTGAAATGATCCTCCTGCCAAAGCCACCCCTGATGCTGGAATTATAGGCATGTGCCACCACATCCAGCAATGGCATGACCACCCTAGTGGAAACATACTAGAGCTGGACCTAGGGGTTAGAATATCAGTGCCTGCTCTTCGAATGTGTGACCCTGGAGAAGTTATAGCTCTACTGTCTCATCTGCCGATAGGGTTAGTATGACCTATTGTAGAAGGTTGTGACAAGTCAGTGGAGTACAGAAGTCCTACCTTATCTGATTTCACTAAGGTTTCAATAATGAGAAATTCCAGAAAGAACTCAGACATTTTAAGTCCTGAGCAACGTGATACACTCACCATCCAGCATCTCTACAATTACCATAATATGGCAGTGTTTATTTTAAAGGTACCCTTTTTTTCCCTACCATCCCAAAATCAAGAGTAGTGATTCTCACAATTTAATTACAGCACATTGTTAAAACTGTTCTATTTTATTAGTAGTTGTTGCTAATCTCTTCTTTTGCCTAGCTTATAAATTAAACTTTATCATGGGTGTGCATGCATAGCAAACAATACCTATTGGGATACGTACTAGTCAAGGCTTTTGGCATTCATTGGGGTACTTGGACTGTGTCACCCTCAAATAAGGCAGAACGCTGGTATTTTCATCACTGGCCATCTGGCTTGTCCCAACTCCCAGTTCAGACTCCTCGTTGCTCTAGTGTTTTACACATCAATGGATTTTAAATGATGCCAGCCTCAAAATAACGTGGAGGCTGGTTACTGACAAGCGTGGCAAGACTCACAGGGTGTACAAGGTCTGGGACAGGCTGAAAAATCTGCATTTTTACATGAGGTAAAGGGAAGCAGTCTGAGAAATACAGGTTTAAAATATTAATTAACAGAGTGGGCTTCTGAAGACATACCCTCGCCGGCTCTCCAGTATCACTGCACGAGAGAGGCACTGCAGGACAGTTGCCCTGCGTGTCGAGGGGTCTAGCAGGGACCTTCATTACCGCAGCGAGTATTTACGGGGTGCTAGGGAGCTACGGGAGGCTGCAGGGGAGGCAACGCATATCTACAAGTAATTCAGGCCTAAGTGCTCTGGCTTTGAAAATGACTGAAGGAAGAGGATGGAGACAGGCATAAATCTGATACCTGGGTACGGGAAGCCAGCCTGACGGGTCCCTAGGAAGCAGAACCCCTACACACACCCGTCTTGCCCTGGTCTGCGCTAGGAAACCACCTCTGATCCCCAGGTGTGCCGCCCCCGCACCCCCCGGACCCTGCGGTTTACCCCATTTCCTGTTCACCTCTCGCCTGTGCCCCCGGCGCGCCTCGCCCAACCCGAACGCCCTCTGGGTCCCCAACCCAGCGCCGGCGGGACCCCGCCATGGGGGCACCCAAACACCTTCCGCAGACCTCCCGCTCAGGGAGCTTCTTAGGGCACGCGCACCCCAGCCCCCATCCCGTTTCCTCTCCGCTCTATAACCCAGGGCAGCCAGTCCGGCTCTGGGCCGCGCTTACCCGGTGCTCCTTCGGGAGGGCGTCATGGAAACAGCAGCTACAGAGCGCCCGCCGGCCGGCCGCGAGCTGAGCGCCCCGCCGCGAGAAGGAAGCGGGAAGGACCGGGCCACAGAACCCAGCCCCGCCCCGGCCGGGCGCCGCCCCTCCGCGGGGCCTCAGGGCCCGGACCTCGGGGGCGGCGCCCGTCTGAACCTTGGGGGCGGGGCCGCACGACGGGGCGGGGCCGCCGCAACCAGCCACGCCCCTACGCCGGCTTTCGGAAAGGTTCGCGTAATGCTGCTCCCGCTTTTTGAAATCTGAGTCCTTTACCCCAGACATACCATTGCTTTATTCCTGGAATAATTTTAAATAGTCTAAGCAGAAATATTTTCCTTTACATACTTGAGTATAGTTACCATGAGGTAGGTTTTTTAAACATGCTGTAATGCTATCATCACACCTAAGAAAACAATTACCAGGCCTCTTCAGTTTTCTCTGACTGACTCAAAGGTCGTTTTCAGAAGACCTAGGAAAACATTCCATTCCATTATTTCAACAAAAGACAACTTTGCATGTCAAACGCAGATATTCTCCCGGTTAGGACACATATACATGTGCTTGCCTAATTCTTTGTACCTGAACCTGCAGCCTTTTTTATCTGCACCTGGTATCAGTATTGCCTACACATTTCCGCAGGCCCCTGGGCTTCCAGGGGTCCTCTCTGGCTCTCTTTCAGCTCTGCTCTCCCCCATGGAACCAGGGGTCATGCCCAATGGGAGCCAGATCCTTGCCTTAGACTTTGTGTTCCAGCCAGCTGTCCAAGGCCTCAGATTTCCCAATGACTCCAAACTCCGTTTCTAGGATGTTGTGCCAGATCAACAGTTTCAATCACTAACAGTCTGGGCAAAGCTAGGTAGCTGTTTACAGGGCCTCACAGAGCTCCCAGGGGTCCAAGAACTCTGCATGTGAACATGGTCTGCCAGAGTGCTATGAAGGCACCCTAGTCAAAGCCAGAGAACAGAGCAAACTTTTAACAGTTTGTTAGTTTTATTTATAACTTTTACATATTTAAGCATACAGTTTGTGAGACAGCGTGAGGCCATGTCTAGTTTCAATAGAGTTAGGTATGGGTACAGGATACATCTCAATTTCTTAACTCTAATGCAAGAAAAATAAACTGGCAGAAGTGCAATGATAAATGGTAACAGTTGACCCCAGCAGGAGACGAATGACACCACAAAAGAGGGCAACCAACTGAACTAAACAGCAAAACTGAGGCAGGGGCTCAGTTCTTGAGATCTTGGTAAATTGACAGGCAGTGTGTAACAGCTCCTGAAAACTAGCCGGGGCGCTACTCTCCCTCTCACTCACAGGCCATACGAAGTGTCAAAGCCGTAACCCTGAACGTCAAGGATGAGAGAATTCTCTGTGTGTGTGCCCAGAGGAACACAGAGCAAGAAAATGAATGTCTGTGAGACAGGAAGGGAAACCTTAGCAGAAACAATCATCTGGGCACCTTGATCTTGGACTCTCTGTTAGTCAACTTTCTACTGTTGTAATAAAATACCTGAGATAATCAGTTATAAAGAGAAAAGATTAATTCTGGATCACAGTTCTGGAGGTTTCAATCCATGATTGGTTGATTCATTCTCTTTGAGCCCATAGTAAAGCAGCAGTCATAATAAGAGCACATAGTAAAAGCAAAACAATGCACTTCATGGCTGGGCCACAAAAAAGAGACCATCCCTTAAGAGTGACCAAAAGTCCTTCCACTAAGTCCATCCCTTAGAAGTTCTACTATCTTCCAAAAGTTCCAATCTGGAGATAAGACATTTAACTGATAGGTTTTGGCAAGGACATTTCAGACCCAAACTATGGCAGACTTCCAGCCTCCTGAATTGCAAAAAGACAAGTGTTTATGTCTAAGCCACCAAGTCTTTGGTATTTTGTTATGGAGTCTTGGGGGATTTATATTTTCACCATGACTTGACGCTAAGTTATCAAGTTTCTTACTCATAGAGTGGTTATAACCTGAGTGCCTGCTTCATATGGAGCAATCCATGCAGAGTTTCTGCACAGTGCCTCGTACACAGCGAGTGTTCCATATATGCTTGCTGCAAACTATTGGTAGAGAAATAATTCCAGGTACCTGGATAAACCTATGGGAGGTGAGGGAGGGGGAAAGGAGGGCCAGGCAGAGAGACTGATGTGGGCATCCGTGCAGGCCTGACCCAGCTCACACCTTTCCTCACATCTGTCCCAGTTCTCTGCCTATACAATGTCCACCTTGCATTTTTGGCCTATCCTCATCTTCTTCAAATGATCTTCAGTTTGGTGGCAGCATCCCTACCTCAGGGCTGCCTGAACCTAGCCTTCTTTCCTTCTGCCTCTCTATTTCCAGGAAGCGGGGCTCCTATACAAAGACCAAGTCCTGCCCTCGCCTCACATAGCTTGGCTGTGATGGCTGCTGAAGGAGTGATAGAGCATGGCCTGATCCACGAGACTGACCACACAAGAGACTTTGAAGTTTAGGGCCCTTAGCTTCTTTATACAACAAATAGTCCAGCCCCTGAGCTGCCACTCCAGCTTTCCCTTCAGAGGCAACAGGTGCTGGTGAGGTGTTTTCCTTCACAGCGGCATCGCGCTTCCTTCAAGATTGACCAGAACCATCATCCCCAGGAAGTAAAACACACTTTTGTGGACCTCTTTTCTCTCACCCTCCTAGTACGCTTGCTATGTACTATGCAAGAATCTATCATTTTCTTCTGTCTCACTTTCCATAGTGAATACCAATCCAAAAAAGACTAATTGGAAATTTCCAGAAATAGTTTGTAAGTTTTAAACAACTCTATTATAGAGTGTTATATTTTTTCTATTTTATTAACTACTGTTGTTAATCTTTTACTGTGGCTAATTCATAAATTAAATTTTGTCATAGGTGTGTATAAGAAAAGCATTTTCTCTAAGGTTCTGTATTATCTGAGGTTTCAGAAATTCATGGGCAGTCTTGAAACAAGGGGGAACTATTATAGAAAGTTAGATGTTACTGCTTTTCAGGCTATGAATTCCCCAAGGCAAGAGACTTTCATTCATCCTTGGATTCCCAACATGTTACAAGATACTGTTATGGTTTAGATCCAAAATGTCCCCCATCTCATGTTGGAGGTAGGGTCTGGTTGGAAGGGGAGTTCACTGGGGGCATGACATGGAAAGATACGTTCTCTTTTTTTATGCTTAATTTACTTTTTATAGATTTAATTTTATTAAAAGAAACACTAAAATACCCAGTGATGATTCTGGAGTGTCATAATGTGAAACCCAGCAATAGTATTTTTCTTTGTTCAGAGTGATATTAGACTGCTTGGGTTTGTTCAATCTCAATATAATTGAAGATATGAATAACTGTATGTATGTTTGTGTATAGGACTGATAACCATATTTCTAAGTTTTGTTGCATAGTTTAACTGGTTGCAGTCTCACTGTTTGAAACCCCACTTTATATGCTCCACTTTAGTATCTTGAATAACTGTTTGTAAGAAGACAATCTGTAATCATCAATTAGTGATTTCTTAGTTTATTTTTTCTTTGAAATTATGTATTTTTTCTACCCATTTTCTGTTTTGTTCAGTCTTTCTTTAAATCAAATTTTTAAAAAAAGACACTACAGTACGCAGTGCTGATCACAGAGTGTCATGATGTGAAATCCAGCAATACTATTATTCTTTGTTCAGAATGATTTTAACCTGCTTTATTTTGTTTAATCTAAACATAAATGAAGATATGGATAACTGCATGTATGTTTAAGTGTATAGGATTGACAACCATGTTACTAAGTTTTTGTTGGACAGTTGAACAGAACTGTTTGCAGTCTCTCTGTTTGAATTCCCACTTTACATGTTCCATTTTTGTATCTTGAACAACTCTTTGTAAAACGACAATATGTAAACATCAACTAGTGATTTCTTACTGTTTATTTTTTTTCTCTGAATGTATGTATTATTTCTACCTATTTTCTGTTTTGTTTAGTCTTTCTTTAAATAAAATTTTTAAAAAATAGATTTTATTTTATTAGTATGTTTTCAGTACCTGATAGTTACATTCATTTTAGGTAGTGGATATACACACTTAACATGATTCTTTTTATTCCCCTTCTCCTCCCTACTCATATCCCTCTCACCTTCTCTGGTTGCCCTTTCCCTATTTCCATGATTACTGTTATTATTTTGTTCATGTTTGCAATATTTGCAATATTGATTACATTCACTGTGGATAGATGATACATGTACCTGATGCATTTTAAATATTTTTATGTTCCTTTCCCCTTTTCTCCCTTTCCCTATGCTTGGTATTTTTGTCTTCTTCCCCTTTGTAAAAGATCTATCCTTCTGTTTCCTTTTATCAATCTTTTAGTTTGCTTTTTGTTTATATATGGATAACTCAAATGAGAAAAAATATACAATGTTTATGTTTGTGTGTCTGATTTATTAACATAATCTTATGTCTTCAAGGTGCATCCATTTTCCTACAAAAGTCTCAAATTTATACTTTCTTTATAGCTTGGTACTATTCCACTGTGTATAAATACCACATTTTATTTAGCTGTTCATCTGTTGATGGATATATTAGCTATTCCCAAGATTTAGCTATTATGAACTGTGCTCCTATAAACAATGGGATACATGTATCACTATAATGTGATATCTTCAGCTCTTTTGGGAAGGGAAATATCTGAGTCAAATGGAATTTTTATTTTTAGCTTTTTGAAAAATCTCCATACTGATTTCCACAATGATCATACTAGTTTACATTTCCATCAACAATGTATAAGAGTTATTTTTTCCACAAAAAGCCATGTCAACACTTGTTATTATTTGATTTCTTGATGATAGCCGTTCCTTCTGGTATAAGATGAAATTTCAATGTTGTTTTAATTTGCATTTCTCTAATGACCAAAATTGTATATTGTTTTCATATATTTATTGGCCATTTGCACTTCTTCTGAGAAGTGTCTATTTATTTCAGTTGCTCATCTTTTGATTGGGTCTTTTACTTTGAGGATTATAATTTTTTAGTTCTTTATATTTCCTAAATATTAGTTTTCTGTATGATGAATAGCTGGCACAATTTTTCCCATTCTGTAGGTTGTCACTTCACTCCACAGAT